GAGGAATGCCAATATGTACTACAAATTTTCATTATAAAAAAAATCTTCTCTGACATCCCAATAATGAATGTAGACAGCAATGCAAATTCTAAATACACCCTGGGAACAAAATGAATCTGCAAAAGATCCTTTCAGAAAGTAACAATGCCACCAGCATCTGAGCACTCATGTCAAACAACACTAGAGTTACCACACAGCCACAATGAATATATACATCAGCAGCAGCATCCTAACAAGAAGTCAAGTGTGAGCATCAATAACATAAAGATTCAGGAACACAGATAGGCTTGGCTTCCACACAACATTCATAGTACTTGTTTAGGCCACCGTGACACACATACACACACCCACATCATGGATTACAATAATGCCAAGTTAATTATTAAGGAGGAAGAAAGAAGAATATTATTTGAGACAGCTGTAGTCCCACAAGAACCAAGAGCATTTAACACATTTCACCTCTTGTGAATATACAGCTATTACACTGCAATAAATAATTATAGTATAATTTTTGACCATATGTTATATAAAAAATTTACATATATAAGAATAAAAGGTACGACAATACAGTACACAAAATGACAATGTTTACACACAGTAAACATTGTCATTTTGCGTGTAAACATTGCCAAACTCTGTATGCCTGGCCCACTTTGGAGCTAGGGATGGGAGGGAAAGGAGGTTGAGGACAGTTCAATGTACAGATCCCAAGAGCTTTATTCCTTGGATTAAAGTATGGCCTGTGTACCAAACACTCCCTTGAGGTGCAATGGGTGCAACACACTCGGTCACTGATCAAAAAAGACCCCAAAATCCCAAGAAATGGACCCCTTTGACAGAGCCTAATGCACCAGCTTTCAAATATTAATGCAGAATTAGGGGGGAAAACCCTTCCATATTCATGATGTAACACAGGAATATTAAATAGTCATAAACTGCCCAACTTTGTGATAAATAACCACTAAGATGTCTGTCACGTACCAGTATTTCATAGTAGTCAGTGTCTATTGATGTACTATTATGCATAATTCACAGCACCCTCAAATTTGCTATGCCTTGCAAATTTTGTCTTAGACATGAGAAAATGCGTCTGTGCAGTATTAAAAAAAATCCCATCCCATACAGTACATGATGTGTACATCTAACCTCTGACCCTATATATGTATTTGGGTTAAAATAGTGACTTTGGGGCAGTTTTTATGGTAGTTCATAATTTTATCAGCTATTTCTTAGTGCCAATAGACCACAAGATATACTAATGGTATAGGTAGTAGGTTGGAAGACAGCAACCACCCAGGGAGGTACTACCGTCCTGCCAAGTGAGTGTAAAACGAAAGCCTGTAATTGTTTTACATGATGGTAGGATTTCTGGTGTTCTTTTTTCTGTCTCATAAACATGCAAGATTTCAGGTATGTCTTGCTACTTCTACTTACACTTAGGTCACGCTACACATACATGTACAAGCACATATATACACACACCCCTCTGGGTTTTCTGCTATTTTCTTTTTAGTTCTTGTTTATTTCCTCTTATCTCCATGGGGAAGTGGACCAGAATTCTTCCTCTGCAAGCCATGCATGTTGTAAGAGGCGACTAAAATGCCGGGGGCAAGGTGTTAGTAACCCCTTCTCTTGTATAAATTACTAAATTTAAAAAGAGAAACCTTCGTTTTTCTTTTTGGGCCACCTTGCCTCAGTGGGATACGGCCGGTTTGTCGGAAAACAAAAATATACTAATGGAGAAGTTTAGCAGAAATTTCCTTGGAAAGGGTCTGTTTTATGGGTTTTTTAATAGGCCTACTTCAATTATTGGAAGGTCTAAACCATGAATGAGCATTCTTAGTTACAGTTTATTGGATGAGAAAGAGGGAAAAATGTCATCTTTTTGTTTGCAATGTTGGATTCAAAATGGAAGGCAAGTGTTATAAAGGAGAGCCCTGGGGCCACGATTAATGAACAAAGGGAAGGTTGCTCTAGTGGATGCAATGCCTAGTGTTTGGGATGCTGTTTTTAAATTGGAATCTGTTGAAAATAGTGTAAAACTGGCCAAATTATTGAATTTTGGGTGCTTAACAGGGCAATTGTGATCAATGAATAATAGTTTTCATACAGTACTAGCAAAATTGCTGGGAACTAGGTTGTTTTGAGCACTGGAATTGGCCTAATATAGACCTCAAAATAAGTGAAATTGCTACTGCCTAAAGTTCTCCCTGACCTCACACCAGCATAATTCTGCAATACATTTTATCAAATGTTGCATATATTTTTTTTTGTCATTACCTTCAGAAAAAGTCTACCTTTTGAGTATATAAAACTATTTTTTATGTTTTCAAAATTGTGAACACCAAGAGATTTCAATTTGGGGGGAATAGACATGTCAACATAAGCCACAAAAGTGGATTATGTTGACATGTAATTCTAGAGTTTTATAAACTAAGTTTTATAAACTAAATAATCTACTGTGCATTACCTTTAATTCAAAATTTTTATTCAGTTTCTCTCATTTCTTTGATGCAAAAAAGCAAACATTAAGCAGATAATGCTCAAGAGTACCAAACACACTGTTGTAGTCTTGAGCCGGAAGCCATACAAAGTCAGTCAGTTTCTAGTTAGCAATACCTTGGCAATTATCTCCCTTGAATTTTTAATTTGTATCATTCTGATTTGCATCTTACATGAGTTTAACTTCAAGCTGAAACCCATTGAACATGTCTGCTGAGAAGTCAACAATACAGGTGAACAGGGTCAGCAACTACTAGGAGATCTGCTCTTATTTCTTATCTCATTTTGTTGGACATCCAAATAAAGAATGAACACTACCTTACCTAGCAAGTATGGAGATTCCCTAAACAAATGCTAAAAAAAATACTGCTCAAAATGTATGTATGACCAAAGTTGAAAAAAGGCAGTAGTGGTAGTGTCCACACCTAAAAAGAGTGGAGGAGCAATAAAGTCCAAACATGAAATTTTAATGATTAACCCACAAATTTTAGACCTTCCAATAGCTTCTGGGGTCAATTGTGACACTGCTCCTGTGAAAAAAAAAAATTAACCCATGCAGTGCATTAGAGGAGGAAGTTTTACAGTATGAGAGTACACAAGATTAGTACCACATCTAGTACCAAAGCAAGGACACGAAAATTTATCCAAGTCAAATTATGATTACTATGTATGGTAACATAGGTAACAGTGATGCAAGTTTGCAGTTAAGAAATCTGTAATGAATTTCAGAGAAATCACAGTGAATACTATATTTCACTGAAATAAAAGTTGTCTGAGAACAGTCATGCCAATACAAGTGTAATGCCACATGGATAACCAGACCCTCTGCCTCACTCACTAGCATGCTCCTTTCTCCATTGAAGAAATAGGTTTATTAATGCACAGTAATCCTCGTATCCATGGGGAACACATTCCAAGACCTACCATGGGTACTTGAAACTGCAGATAGTAGTAAATCGCTTTTTTTTTTTTCAACAAACCGGCCGTATCCCACCAAGGCAGGGTGGCCCAAAAAGAAAAACGAAAGTTTCTCTTTTTTAAATTTAGTAATTTATACGGGAGAAGGGGTTACTAGCCCCTTGCTCCCGGCATTTCAGTCGCCTCTTATGACACGCATGGCTTACGGAGGAAGAATTCTGTTCCACTTCCCCAATTCATTTTTCGTTTACATACATACCTATCATGAAGTCTAATTAATAAATTCCGAACAATAAGTCGAGAATTAGCACTTTCACTGATGGGAAGCACTTCTCAGCTTCTCTTAGGCTTTGAAGAACTACCGCCATCACTTCCTTTGCATTTTGGTACCAGTATTAAGCAAAATTAAGGGTAATTTTCAGGTCAAAGTAAACTGTGGATAACCGAAACCGCAGAATCCGTGGATACGGGGGTTCAACTGTACTTCATTACAGGACAGTAATTGCAGCAGGGATGATAAGGAAAGAAGATAAATATGACTAAGCTACCACCCGTACCATGTTGGGAGACAGCTGGTGTTAAAAAACAAAATGAAAGTAACAATTCTAGTAAAAGCATCATAACTCATAACAAGTCACTGCAAAATGTAAAAAGTTTGAAACCCCCTAGAAGTGTGAAAAAAAAAACAAGAAAATAGGGAGTGCACAGCAATCACCATTGTTGCCATCAGTAGGTCAGGAACCTTCAAATTCTTGCCCTTTTTTTTTTTTTTTCCAAGAATAAACTTTTTTTTTTAAAAATCAGAACACTGTCAGTGGTAATAATCTCAGGTCACGAGAGTGAAAGGCTTAAATTCACCCTATACCTCCTTGACCTTCTCAGTTCTTGCACTCTCTAGCTGATGCTGGGCTTGATTTTATCTAGCTAAGCAACCACTGTCTTTCGATTTAAAGTATGATAAATTAAATAGGATTTTGCTTAAAATATACTCAGTACATTTTCCCCACTCTCAAGGTTTTCTTCAGGTCATTCTTTCTTATGAATGTCAATATAAACTAGTTTTGAGTGATTCCTCAAGAAATAATGCTAAAAGTTAAAGTTGTGCTGAACTTAGGCAACTGCAAAAGAGCAATTTAAACTATATACAGTGAATTATTGGAAGATATAGAATGGTCACGTAAATAAATTCACACAAAGAAAACCACACAAAGTGAGGGTAAATATATAATTACCAAACTGCATATTTAGATTTTTATTCTCTACTAACTTTAAAAAAGAACCCTCATTTTCAAAATGCCCCCACAGTTAGATTATCAGGCTTCAAATAGTGCACTGTTAAGGGTTAAGCAAAACAGAATTTTTACTAACTTCTACAAAATATTGGAAAAAAAAAAATACATGCAATGCATAAATCTGGACAAAACATAGATAGCATTTTCATTAAGTCATGTATTTTCATGCATACCATAATCCAAGTTCTATAAGCATATGAAGCAACATGACAGCAATGGCACCTATTTTTTCATGTGCAGAAAAATGCAATTTTTTGTACTGTCCGAAAATACCTCGATAAAACATACCTCCTGATACAACAACAGCACTGCCACCATCAGTGGGCACGTCAGTAGAAGTAATGAGCGCCAACCGTGTTTCTGGAGAATCACTGGGTGAGCCGTTTGCTTGTGAACCTGCCAACAGGCTGGGAACAGACGTCTGCACTCCACCCTGAGGTAAACCATCAACAGCCCCGTCTGGGGCAAATTGTACCACTCTGTAAGCCAGTGTACCTGAAATAAAAGGGCATTTCATTATTAATTTATTTACATGCCCCTACAGGTCATATAAACATTTAATGGGCAGCATCATTCAGTAACAACTAGTTTTCCAAACAAATTATCCATTGATGATATTCTAGACTGCCATTTTAAATTTGCAAGGATAGCTTTTTTTATGAATTTCATCCAGTGTTGTTCATAGGAGACAGGAATGTACAATTTTCTATTAAAAGGTTAATAATATACTCTTGAGGAAGCTAAATACCTAATACAGTGGAACCTCAACTTACGAGTGCCCCAACATATGAATTTTTCGAGTTACAAGCTGTCACTCGGTCGATTTTTTGCTCTGAGTTACGAGTGAGCTTCAGAACATTGCCACTAGTTGGCACAGCGAATGCCACAACATCCGCTCAGCAGTGCACGTTTTCACCTCGCTGTGGAAGCATTTCTCTTGTGTTTGTGTTTTGAGCAGTTATTTTGCCAAATTCCTTTTTTCTAACCATGGGTCCTAAGAAAGTAAGTGTAAAAGACAGTGCTGAGAAGAAAGAGAGGATGATGTCCAGCAGTGCACATGTTCACCTTGCCAGGGAAGCATTTCTTTTGTTGTGCTTGCATTTTGTACAGTTTTTTTTTGCCAAATTTCTTTTTTCTAACCATGGGTCCTAAGAAAGTAAGTGAAAAGGACAGTGCTGAGATGAGAAAGAGGAAGATGTCCATTGAATTAAAGAATGACATCATATCATAAACGCAAGCGAGGTCTGCGGGTTGTGGACTTAGCCAGGCAGTACAAGTGTAGTACTTCTACAATACTAAAGCAGGAGTCAATAAAGGCTACAGCACCAGCCAAGTGATAAAGTGTAGCATTAAGAGTGTAGCAAGTAGCCTACCTTTTCCACGTTCCAACCCCGCCAACCTCTGTTCTCCAAGGTAAATACGTACGCTTCATAAAACCAGTTTATTTCATTACATTCTCTATTATGTTTTATGTCTTTATACAATATTTCTTATTTACAAATACAGTGTTTCAGTGTTTTCCTTAAGAAACTAGTGATCTAGTGCAGTCAGCCTCACAAACACTATTTTCAGAAGAGGAATAGGAAGATATGGTCAGAGCGGGAGTGCTAGTGGCCGCCACCACTAGTCACATAATGACATACATGTATTTTATTCATTCTAGAATATATATCATGTTTCTATGTTATTTACATTGGTTTTTTTATGTCATTTTAGATCAATTGTGATAGATAAATAAGTCACAGAGTTGATATTAGCTTTATACTGAAGTATTTTCTGCCTCCCGAGAGCTGGAATTCCACTGGAACGGATTAATGGCATTTCAATTAATTTCAATGAGGCGGAGAGACCTCCCGCCATCCCCTGCCACCCCCCGACACCACCCCACCATTCGTATTTCATACGTGTCCAATCTTTCTCTGCTACAAGCTAGCTGTGTTTCTGAATTGTGTTTTCATCTTTTAATTACTACATCTTGTATCTGCCAAGCAATACCAGTGTTGCTGAAAGTGCTAAGAAAAGGTATAAGCATTTATGTCTTAGAATTAACGAAGGAAACAAAGATATTAGACAAGAGATAACTGTAATGAAGTGTTACTTTGTACACATAAAAAGAGGTAAACATGAGTTTGTGTGACTGACTTAATGACTGACTGACTTACTTGACTCAATGACTTACCGACTTGACTCCATGACTTACTGACTTGACTGACTGAATGACTTACTGATGTGACTGAATTACTTACTGACTTGACTGAATGACTTGACTGAATGACTTGATTGACTTACTGGCTTGACTGACTGAATGACAAAGTTGGGCACTCCAGTACAACCATCAACTTCAGTACCAGAACCTCTACCATCCACCTCAGCCCAGTAGGGCCACAGCATAACTCTCCACTCTCTTCACAATCATCCACAAACACCAGTACCCACAATTTAAGGTAAGAAATACTATTATTTCTGTTACATTTGTAGTCTCAACCCTTTGACTGTTTCGGTTGTATATATACGTCTTACGAGCCACCGTGTTTGACGTATATAAACACTCAAATTCTAGCAGCTTCAAATCAAGCAGGAGAAAGCTGGTAGGCCCACATAAGAGAGAATGGGTCTGTGTGGTCAGCGTGCACCATATAAAAAAAAATCCTGCAGCACGCAGTGTATGAGAAAAAAAAACGACTGTTTTTTTAATTAAAATGCCGACTTTGTAGTCTCTTTTCATGTAGTATTTATGGTTGTATTCTCGTTTTCTTGGCCTCATTTGATAGAATGGAAAACATATTATAGAAATAGAGGTGATTTTGATTGGTTTTACTATAAAAAGAACCTTGAAATGGAGCTCAAAGTAGGGGAAATGTTTGATTTTTGCCAATTTTCAAACATAAACAAATGATGTCATTTTCCAATAAATGTCCAAGTAGCCATTCTAATATGCAGTCATGAATGGGTTGACATTATTTATAAAATTTTTACAATATTGCAGTAGTCTGCATAACAGTTAATCTTCTACTTTTTGTTTGAATAAAGATTCAAAACAGAAAGCAAGAGTAATATCAGAGAGGCCTAGAAACGTGACTGATGAACAATGAAAATGTTATTTTAGAGCCAGGAATGTCTGCATTGTTCACTCTGGACCCTATTTTGAAATTGTCAGTTTTTAATTATCGTGAAATTGGCCAAATTGCAAATTTGTGACCACGCTATTGGGTAGTTGAAATTGGTAAATGGGCAGTTTCTTGTACTCAATCGATAGAAAAAAATGGAGTTCTAAAGAAATAGCTATGAGTTTGGTCAACTGGAACAATGGAATTAGCCGAAAATAGGGCTCAAAATCGGCGAAATCGCCAATTCGTAAATATCGCTGAGGTCACTAACTTCGCGAGAGTGTAATACCGTCAGTTTTCCATCAAATTTGGTTCTTTTGGTAATCATTACAATCGGGAAAAGATTCTCTATCATTTCATAAGAAAAAAAAAAAATTCCTGAAATTTTGCAACACCAGGAGACACCTCAGGATTTGGGGTTGCAACAGTCAAGGGGTTAACCAGTAAAAACAACATAATACATCACAACAATGAACTACAATTCCATAATTACTTTTATTTTTGTAAGATGTGGAGGCCTAAAAAAAAAAAAAGTTTTTGGCTTTTTTTTGGGGGGGGCTCTAAGAAACGTAACCCTATTTTTCCCACAAGTTCTTCATTTCATCTAACACAGTTTAACCTAACACGCCATTTTCAGGAACGTAACTGCCGTGTTAAATGACGGTCTACGGAATGAGCAAATTGAGTTACGAGCTAGGTCACGGAACAGATCAAACTCGTAAGTCAAGGTACCACTATATGTTATTTCCTTTCTTTTAACCCTTTCAGGGTCCAAGGCCAAAATCGGAAGGGGTGCCCCAGTGTCCAAGAAATTTTTGGGGAAAAAAAAAAAAAAAAAAAAAAAAAATCTTACAGAATTAAAGATAATATTTTTGTGAAGGTAATAAAACAAAAAAAAAATTCTGATCAGTACTTACCGAGATACAGCGGCGGGAAGTCAACCCAAAATGACTGGGTGGCAGCAACTTCAGTTACTTCCACAAAATCGCATTTTTTTATTTTACGATTTTTATACTTTTTTCTTTTCTTTTCTAATTTTTTTCTTTTCCTAGTAACATTTGTGGCCTGTGAGACCAATATAATGTATAAGTGTACACTCATTGTATTCAACACAATAGCTGCACTAATTTGTTTATCATTATATTGCTTACAAAACTTGTTTACAAGTTTATTGTAAACAAAATGATGAAAATATTAGTGCGGTTATTGTGTTGAATACAACGGTACCATATAGTACCATATGGTACAATGGTGCCATAGGGTGCAATGGTACTATATAGTACAATTGTACATATGGTACAATGGTACCATATGGTACAATATGGTACAATGGCACATGAGACAAAGGTACCATATGGTAGAATATGGTACAATGGCACCATTTGGGACAATGGTACATGATACAATGGTACCATATGGTGCAATGGTACATGGCACATTGTACCATACAGTACAATACCATATGGTTCATTGTACCATTCAGTACAATACCATATGGTTCATTGTACCATATGGTACTGTTGTATTCAACACAATAAACACACTCATTTTCATCATTATTTTGTTTACAATAGTTGTTTACAACAAAAATATGCAAAAATGTTGTATATTAGTAATGTTCTATTATATACATGTATTTACAAATGTACAAGAACTCGACATGTTCCTTGAGGTGGATAACAAAGCGCTTTGTCTCGGAAACTGCGAAGTCAGTAGCTAGCTTGCATCTCCACTCACTCAGTCTTGGCTGGTGTCTCCTGCCACCAACACCTATTGACCATATGGTACACGGTATCATATGTTACAGGGTACCATATGGTACATTGTACTATATGTATAGGTACATGCAGTACAAGATAACATATGGTGCAGGGTACCATATGGTACAGGGTACCATATGGTACAGGGTACCATATGGTACAGGGTACCATATGGTACAGCATGCGATATGGTACAGGGTGCCATATGGCACAGGACACCATATGGCACAGGTATCATACAGTACAAGACACCATATGGTACAGATACAGGGATACCTATGGAAATAAGTCACCCTGACTTTTTTGGGTTATCCTAGGATTTTATACATATGCTGCTATGTATGATAATCTATGTAATTGTATTTCTGTACACATGAATAAACTTACTCAAGTGCATGTGGCATCATAAATAAGTTTATTTAGGTATACACAAATAAAGTTACATAGAATATCATACTTAGCAGCATATGTTTGGAGAACCTAGGATAACCCAAAAAAGGGTCCCTGTATCCTGTACCATATGGCACAATGTACCATATGGTACCATTGTACCATATACCATTGTACCATATCATACCATTGTACCATATGGTACCATTGTACCATATGGCACAATGGTACCATATGG